GTGTTGGTTTTCTTGGAATTAATATTTTATCGTTAGGTTCTGTTTCAACAGGCAGCATTGTAAATGTCTCAGCATCAATTGGCCAGGTCATGCGAGTTTGTGTATGCTCGTGACTGAATGAGCGGACAACTTTGCTGGCGTACGATGGTCTGTTCGAAACAAGATCATTCGAAACAGAAGCTATCTGTTTAGCTTCTGGGTAACTGATGTTTCTTTCTGTTTTAATTTTGATAATATTTTTTTCTTTAAGGTAAACAGGGCAGTCCCTAGATGATGAAAAATGGGATTCACCACAGTTTACGCATTTAGAAGATTCAGAGCTACAGGTTGTTCCCTCGTGTCCTTCGTCAGAACACTTGAAGCATCTCTGCGTACCACGACATTGTTTGCTTCCATGACCAAACTTTTGACAAGTGAAGCATCGAATTGGGTTAGGGATAAACCTGTCAACTCTGATTCCGAAGCAACCTAAAGTAATAGATGGAGGAGGAGTTGGAGTTCTAAATGTCAAAAGATATGTATTTAATTTGATTATATTTCCATTCTTTTTTATTTGAAATCTAACAACATCAGTTACACCTTGGCTTGAAAGTTCCTCACAGATTTCTTCCACGGTAAGGTCATCAAGGTATTGACTTCTGTCTCGAATGATCCCCTTACAGCTGTTCAAACTGTTGTGAGGAGAGGCAGAAACAGGAAAGTTTGTAATTGTTGTCAGTGTAAGCAAATTTGTTGATTGACTTTTGTTGGAACATTCAACCAACAAATTGCCTGATCTCATTTTTGAAACTTTTTTTACAGTACCAGCAACGCTTTGAATTTGTTTGTGAATCACAAAGGGAGATATTTTGGAAATTGGTTTTTCATCTGTTCCTTTTATTACAATAAATCTGGGCCAACTGTCATCTTCCTGACAGGGCACTGAATCATCACATTTTCTTTTTTTATGTATTAAAGCTGATTTAGAGGGTTGGTTTTGTTGTGCCATAGGAAATGAGAAAGATTCACCATTCTTGTCATCCACCCACCTCGGAGTGCCTACAAGGGCGATGCTGTGTTTCCGTGGCGAGCCGGGGTCAAGTGCTAATGCTGAAAACGAGCTCCAAGTATAACATGTATAACGTAGCTGGTCCCCAAAATTAGCACCCAAGATCCACTGCGGAAAGCACCAGATGTTCCAAGAATGGTATACTCAAGCAGAGCGTATCCATCAAGCGAAATAGAAAGCGTACCACTTGATTGACCCATGAGCCATCGCCTTCTTCAGTTATCCGAAATATAAATAGCTTTATTTAAAACACATGTGTATATCATGAAAATTGTTACAAGAAAGCTTATTGTTGAAAATTAACTGAAGGGCTCGACATGACCAGCCGATTGATCGAACCGGGTCCATCCGACCACCCGTTTAGATGATATTGGAGCCAATGCAGCTTATTGAACTATAGTCTTGTCCGTCCGGGTATTTTCTGACCGTAAGGAGTCTGGCTACAGCCCTCATCCGCAAGGATCTCGTCAACCACCGACACGGGTAGCAACCCACGGCCAACGCGTTGGTTTTCAATTCCATACCGTAAGTTTTTCATTCCACACCGTAAGTTTTGTACTTTTGTCGGCCAATCAAAATGTTTCTAACAAAGTATTTTCTAAAAATATCCAGTCGTCATCTAACTATTCGGACAGCCTCCGGATTTTTCTTGATATTGGCGGTAAAGTATGAATATGGCTGAATCGTCCGCAGCCCGTCTGCAAATGTTGATAAACAGGGCACAAAGATTTTATACAGAAGCAGCAAGACCACAAGTTGTCGAAAATCAAGATGACGATGATTTCTTGTCTGGATAAGGTCCGGTAAAAGATTTTTGATAATCAAAATTTACGTCAAAACAATATTTCTTTTATTTTTATATATACACGTCCCTGTTATTATTTTATTGATGTGGTGTTGTAACATGTATCAAAGGGACTTGTCTAGTTGGTCAGACGAGTTTTAGATAACTATTTCCATACAATATTAAGTGTTTAGATACAGCTTTTCTTACACGTGTCAGTCATGTCAGTGTCATCATCTTGTGTTGTTATTGTATGTTACCCAAACAATACAATTATGTCAAAAGTTTATATCCACAATTATTAAATCGAGAAAAGAATTATTGAGGTCTGTTAGATTTAATAATTTTGGACGTTAATTTTTATGAAGTCCGGTACTGTATTATTATTATTGTACTGAACTGAACTGATAATTTGCTGATCCTGATTTGCTATCATTTTAGTTATTTTTGGAAAAATATCTTGCAAACTTCAGCCAATGCAGTTATTTTGCCTACACGCTCATTCCCACACAAGTATTTTGCCTAGGGTCAGTTGTCCGCTTGAAATATGGGGTAATTTTTACGACGTTGAATGATATTCCCTATTGGATAACAGCTATTCTGCTTACATGCAGTTACTGCGGGAAAAGGGTGTTATTTTTTATGGTGTTTACTATAGTAAAGTATAATATTGACTGATGTTTAAAGTTTTTACCTAGTTAACGTTTTATTACAATGGTGCTAAACTGCTAATGTTTATTTATAAATAATGTGTATATGGTTTACTTAAAAAAAATATTGATACACAGGCCTACAGAAGGGTTCATAAATATGAATTTAAAAAAAGAAATGATATTTAAGTCTTTCTTTATATATTATATTTTGTCAACTGTTATCTTCGGTATTCCAGTATTGTGGTAACCAAGTTCAAGTGATCCGTATGACCCATTATTAGACAAGCCCCTGTGATTAAAATTGAGAATGGAAATGGGGAATGTGTCAAAGAGACAGCAACCCGACCATAGAGCAGACAGCATCTATAGGTTACACATGCAGTCATGAGTCGTGTACATTTACAATGTACACATGTAAGAATGTCATGAATCATTGAATGTAGATAAATGTAATTGGATACCAGTTGGTGCCGAACTGTTTCAGAGTTTGTCTGACCGAAATAGAAACTTGATCTTTTCTACTACATGTATATTTGCAACTAAATCTAAAAACTTCTGTTTGACTGATTAATTGTATGTCTGACAGTTTGTCAGTCAGACAGAGTTTGCAACTAAAATGAAAATAAAATAATGTAAAATATATTTTTATTTTATCGTAAATGATATTTCAGATTTCAACACTTCAGACGAAGTCATGAATCAGACTAAGAGCAGGGTCATCCAGGAAAAAGAAAAAACCTATGTACTCCTTCAAAGTGACATGTTTGGACAGCCCAGAGTATCAAACTATTAATCCTACCATTGTGAAAGCAATGAATGAAAAGCAATTAGGTAAATAACTGTGTAATTATAAAAATAAACTGTTGACACATTTGACTGTATGCAACTTTGAAAGTTTAATGCAATTGTTTGAAATAAAAAAACAACACATAACATGTAAACTATGGAAAAATTTGACTGACAATGTGAGGCCTGCCCCAAATTAATTTTAAGGAAACAAAATATACAAATGCTTACACAACTTAATACTAGATTTCACAACTTAATACTAGATTTCACAACTTGATACTGTACATGCTGTATGGTGACCTATAGTTGTTAATTTCTGTGTCATTTGGTCTCTTGTGGAGAGTTGTCTCATTGGCAATCATACCATATCTTCTTTTTTTATAATTAATACAAGATTTCACAATTTAATACTAGATTTTAATGATGTAACATCATTGGTTTCCTTTATAACCTAACCCTAGACTTTAACAAATAAGCCATGAAAAAATTCCAAAGTCAATGAACCATGATTGGGTGACTGAGGGGTTGTGGTAAAAATATCTCCATGGAAATGATATTTGCCAAATTGCTTGTGCTAAAATAAAAACATGTGAAATGTCATTGACTTATTTACAGGAATTTCCCTTAAATAATAAATTAAAATGATGGTTTTGCAGATCAAATTTTGTGAGTGATTTTGATGACAGAATAGGTCACCGTATGGTCTTCATCAATAAGCAAAGCCAAAACTGCATAGTCAGCTATAAAAGGCCCAGAAATGACAAATTTAAACGAGAAAATTAACGGCTTAATTAATGTACAAAAAATGAAAGAAAAAAAAAATAACACAACAACAAACATGACAAACGACAACCACTGAATTACAGCTTGTTTTTAGCTCACCGGGCCTGAAGGGCCCCATGCAAGCTAATGCCATCACTTTGCGTCCGCCGTCGTCGTCTGTCGTCGTAAATTATTTCAAAAATCTTCTCCTCTGAAACTACTGGGCCAAATACCTTCAAACGTTAAATGAATGTTCCTTAGGGTATCTAGTTTATAAATTGTATCCGAAATTTTGATCCATCAACAAACATGGCCACATGACTAAAAATAGAACATAGGGGTCAAATGCAGTTTTTGGCTTATATCTCAAAAAGTAAAGCATTTAGAGCAAATCTGACATGGGGTAAAAATGTTGAACAGGTCAAGATCTACCAGCCCTGAAATTTTCAAACAAATCAAACAAACCATTGTTGGGTTGCTGCCACTAAATTAGTAATTTTCTGTCTTACTATTTCAAAAATCTTCTCCTCTGAAACTACTGGGCCAAATACCTTCAAACTTTAAATGAATGTTCCTTTGGGTAAATGAGAAAAATAGTATTGATCTATCTGCATGAACATGTTAAGAACAATGACCCCAGCCCCACCCCCCACCCCCCCCCCCCCCCCCCCCCCCCCCCAAAAAAAAGATGCATGTTTTAGGCAAACACTGATATACATTATTACTCAAAAATATAAATCATGATTGGTGAATGAATTAAGCTTTAACAAATCAGGTGAGCGATTCAGGTTCTTGAGAGCCTCTTGTGTGTGCATCATTCTTTATATAATGCAAAATTAAAAAAAGATATACGTGTACTTTCTGAAGGCTTATTATTATTGAAATCACCTTGTAAAAATTGAGTTCTAACCAAATAAAAAGATTATGCCTGCTTTCACAACATCAATATCTATTTCAGGTTATCGTCCTATTAAGATTGAAAGACCTGCAACAATAAATAAACTGACAGAAAAAGTCATGTCCATCTTTAAGTTCACATGTGCTTTCAAATATATGAAAGCAGTGAGAAATACCATCAATATATGTGAGCTTAAAGAATTGCAAGTCACTTCAACAAAGGATGTGAAATCCAAAATAGGCAGGTCAAACCTGTATATTTTACCAGCAGAAAAGGTGATTTTTACCAGTAAAATATCAAAAACTAGTGCATGAAGTTTAGAGAAAACCCATGTTCAATATATTTTTCCCCATGTTATAAAAGCAACATTTCAAGACATCAAAAACTTGTATTGCTTCTTTACCATTTTACATATATCATGTATATGGCACATGGGGTTACAATTAAAGGTGACACTTTGTCCTTTCAAGGTCACTATAAATGGTATGCAACACATCATATACATGTACATGTAACTAAATGATATATGCTAAACATTATATATATAGTATTGCTTACCAAAGCCTTCATATAAGGCTTGATAACACTTTAAAAGTAGTATATTTAGTATTCTAAAAATGTGTTTTATGGAAGAATTAATCATCAGAGAGCAGTAAAGTAAAAGCTCTATTTTTATTGTATCACTTTCATAGCTGAGCTGACACACTAGGATTGGTATCATGAAATTTACATTGCTTTTTTTTTTTCTGCTTTTATTTTACAGATACACTTGTGCATGCTATTTAACTTCTCATTTAACTTTTCAGATAGGCCAGAGTTCTCCTGAAGAGAGCAGTGACGAGTCAGGAAGCAGTTTGCCTAACCCCCATTTGGTGGGTATGACTTTCTACGAGTTAGAAAATAAAATAAAGTATCCTTCTATCTATTTATAAAGATAAAACAAACTTCTATCTATTTATAGTTTAAAATAGAAAAGAAAAATGGATTTATCAAACCACCTCTTAATTTGTAAAGGGAGGGGGGGATATTTTGTATCCACAATTCTTCTTTGATATTTTATTAAAATTTTATTTTATTTTTAATTATAAAGTGACATTAGGCACTGTCTATTTCATTTTTATAGTGTGTTTCGGTCTCTGTGTCTTCGTTCATTTGTCCATCTGTCCTTCTTCAGATTATATTTTTTGTTCTTTTTGATGAAGTTGAATTCCAATCAACTTGAAACTTAGGACACATGTTCCCTATGATATGATGCCAAATGAGAGTTTTGACCCATATTTCACAGTCCACTGAACATAGAAAATGATAGCGCACACTTCAGTAATTTTTTTAGTCAATGTATTTATAAAGTTTAAAGTCCAAGCAACTTGAAACTAAGTATATATGTTCCGCATGATATTTTTAATTTTAATGTTAATTGAGAGTTTTACTCCTATTTCACGGTCCACTGAATATTGAAAATAAAAGTGTGAGTTGGGCATCCATGTACAATGGACACATTCTTGTTTCCTAATCTTTTTTATTTTTGCAAGGGGCGGATGTATAATTTTGTGAGCTCATATTAATGTAAACAAATATGAAATATCTAGGACACAAAACAACCTGCATCTATATATTGTGTCTAATACAGAACAATAAGAGATAAAAAAAAAGTTGTCTTTAACTGCAGTACACAGTAATGAAAAAAAAATGTTGAAATTATTTGTAAACAATATTACTGGACTACTCATATTTTTATTATACATGTACAAATTTAGATTGCAAACTTTGGTAAATATGTTGTTTATCATTTGGTTTCTTTTGACAGGATGCTATACCACAAAGAAGATCAAGGTTGGGTCATAGAAATAATGTAAGAACAAGTCTAGTATAATGATATTAAGTTAAAAGTTAAATCAAAGATTTTTTTTTTATAGAAAATCCCAAATAGGGTTTTTCATCAACACACAAACAAAAGAACATACTAATCAGGACAATCAATTTATTCCAGTTCAAATGTAGTTTATATTTATATCAATACAAAACATTAAATCTTGTATTTTTTACCTTACTAGACCAAAAAGGTCATGTGTGCGTTTGCCTTCACTTGGCATTATATGTCATTGTAAACTGTTTAAAAAATTTTCAATGTACCTATTAGACCAAATAATATCAAGTTCCACCTTACGTTCCTCATGGTTATAGTCTGAAAATTTGTTCCATCCTGTTTATTTATGTTAATTTTTGTTATACAATTTAATTAGAAAAATTTTGAAGAATCAAAATTTTGGTCCTCAAGGACCAGTGACTCAAAAACAGTATAAGTTTTTGATATCATAATAATAATATCAATAATATCATCTATAAAAAAAAACTGAAATTGAGTACAGATTAGTTTCTTAAATTATTGTTATTTAAACCCTAATCATAGAAAAAACCAAAATTCCTCCCTCTTTATTATTACCCTCCGCAACGAACCCACGCAACGAAGTTGCGGAGGGTATAATGTTTTTGATCCGTCTGTCCGTCAGTCTTGTTTCTTGTCATCGCAACTCCTCTCAAACCACACAACAGAATTTCATGAAACCTTTTTAGATAATAAGGACATACTATGTAGTTGTGCATATCGACAGGAAATTACGATTCATTTTTTTTCTAGGAGTTACGCCCCTTTGAACTTATTTGCTTCAATGTACTACTGCAACAGTTTGTCATCGCAACTCCTCTGAAACCACACCACAGAATTTCATGAAACTTTGTAGATAATAAGGACATACTATGTAGATGTGCATTTCGACAGGAAATTACGATTCAATTTTTTTCCTAGGAGTTGCGCCCCTTTGACCTTATTTGCTTTAATGTACTACTGCAACAGTTTGTCATCGCAACTCCTCTGAAACCACACAACAGAATTTCATGAAACCTTTTTAGATAATAAAGACATACTATGTAGATGTGCATATCGACAGGAAATTACGATTCAATTTTTTTTCTAGGAGTTACTCCCCTTTGAACTTATTTGCTTCCATGTACTTCTGCAACAGTTTGTCATCGCAACTCCTCTGAAACCACATAACAGAATTTCATATAACTTTGTAGATAATAAGGACATACTATGTAGATGTGCATATTGACAGGAAATTATGATTCAATTTTTTTTTTCTTACACTTATTTTATTCCTCCAATGACAATGTGGGGACGTGGGGTATGTGAGCGCGCTCACTAAGGTTCTTTAATTATGGATGAAATAACCAAAAAAGGTGTTGTGCTTTGTTACAGATTAAAGTGTAAGTAAAACCATATTGAATATATAAATATATATACAGTTATATATAAATATATATACAGTTAACTCTTTTTGTCTTGATCTTGGTTGACTTGAAAAAGTGTGGTCCCAAACTTTGGTCTATTTATAGTTCTATATCTGACATATCTGAGAAAAATTTAGTTCTATGTAATTTTACTCAAAATGTGTTTTAGCATGTTATTAATGTAACTTTTGTATGCAAATATTTTGAAGCAATACATATCATTCTTGATAAAAGCAACATGAAATGTATAAAAACAGCATGAGAAAAAAAAATATATTCAATTGTATAAACATGACAAAGGTGATAACATAATATACATGTATCTCAGTTCAAAACATCAATCCCAGACTTCTACCCTGCTGGATTTATTTTAACCTTTCAATAAGTGGGACAAGAGTTGGCCCTATTCTGCAAAACTTCATGTATTCTTCGAGTCAAGCTAAATCTATCAACTAAAAATGAATTCTCAAGTCAGGAAAACCTCAAGATAACAATGGTAAACTGTATATATATATTTTTTAAGTAATGGAATATAAGCGCTATTTATTTTTTTAAATGTCAAGTGTTCTGGCTACAATTTCCCAAAGGTGAAGGGTGGTCATGGTGGTGTGGAATATACTTATATTTTCTTGTTTTATGTTCTAACATAAAGTTAATATCAAAACATTTAAATAGTTTTAATTACTAGATTATTATACAACAAAATTCTAGATAGAACATGTAGAAGCAGAAAAACAGAAAAAATATAAATGCTTATTGTCATCCTGCTGGAACACTTTTGACCCACAGGTGAAGACACTTGAAATGTAATAGATGTGGTACTGTACTTAGCCAGTTGAAGAAAAAGTGTCTTCTCCTTTGGATTAAGAGTTGTTTTATTAATACATTGTAGCTATTGAATGTTTTCTTTGTTCTATATAATGCACCCTTTTTCACCTGCAAATATTTAGATACAAAATGTAGCTTTTACCATTATCTGGTATCCATATTATAGTTTAAGAGTTTTTCACTGATTCAAACACAGCAATCAACTTGAAAAATTGTCGGTGGGTATACTGAAGCAATCAACAAAAGGTAACCAGTTTTCTGTACATCTTCTGAACCATGCACCCATGCTTCTGTGCTTCATTCAATGTATAAAATGACATTTATATCCAATTCTATGACTTTTAAAAAGTAAAAAGTATTTGTCATGTGGTCAGTGATTGATATCATTTCTTTAATAACCAACAAAACGTATGGATATGTGCATCATTATAAATATAAATGATTTTGTTAATCTCTGCCAAACCAAAAGATATGACTACATTGATTATATAGCAAGTATTAAGAGAGATGAAGCAAACTCAATTATAAAATGTTCTGTTGTTGTTATTTATAGTAATTTTGAATAAATATTGAGAAGTGAAAGGTCTACAAGACAAACTGAATGTCTTTTATTGTATCAAATCCATCTGAAATATTTTCCTCTCACATTCACCACACTTTTTCTTTCTTTTAGTATACATGTATATGTTATTTTTGGTTTTACTTATTTTTGTCAGCTTGGTATGCATGATGTATTCCTTGTTTGATATTTCTTATAATTGGTTATAAGTATTTATAAATAATACCAAAACAGAAGAAACTTCAGTGTTTCCAAATATTATCCAATATACCAATAACAGAGTTCTAATGCCAGTAATGACTAGTTTTTGTTTGTTTGTTTGTTATTGACAGGATTAAGCATAAGAAATAAAAATATGAAAAGTATTAAAGGATAAAATTGTTTTATTCATGGTATACATGTGTAAATGAAACTTCTTTATATTAATTTTTTTTAATAAACTGGAACTTGAATTAAGATAAGGTAAATGTGTAAAATAGTATAATTGTTGGTAACAATCCTTTCAAGATAAGTAATTTATATTTTTTTTATATTTTACCACTTTATATTTTTTTTATATTTTCCCTAGAATATAAAATATGAATCATCATGATCATATGCATGACTATATTTTTTAGGATTTGACTGATGAAGATATGCTTTCACCAATTACTGTACCAGTAAGACAGAGGCTGGTAATGTATATTCAAACATTTTATTGCTGGAATATAAAGAGAAAAAAATTGCAATACACTATCTGACCATCTAAATAATGCAGAGAAAACGTGAAAATATCAAGAAACTAGAGTTTTTATATGACCGTCTGAGAGGGGATGTATTATTTCTTATGTTATATTAAAACAGCAATAGGATTGGCTGAAGAAAAGTGTCTTTCTATTTAGTTATATCATTTCAGAGTTATGGGACTTTAATTATTTGAAAAAAGGCAATTTTTCACATTTTGCACATTAAATTTAGTACAGTATTCAGGTATTCATAGATTGATTTCCTTGAAACTTTACATTATTGTCAGGATTGTTATAAAGAAGCTCCTTTTTTATTTATTTGTTATTCTGGAGTTACAGGATTTTACTATTTTGAATTAAAGACAAATTTTAATGCCTTCTTTTCCAATTTTATTTATCAGCAGCAATTGATATATGATCAATACAGGTGTATCATTTGCTCTAGGTGCAGCTTCTCTTAAGCATGGCAGGTGTATCACCAGTTTGTATTTCTTGACATCAAGTTTGATGCAACTTTGAGGTTACATTCAATTGACATGTAATAAATGTGGTGCTGTATGGTAGGCTGAAGCTGACTATCTATAAGATAACTTAGGAACCATTCAACAAATTTGTTTTCAAAGTTAAATACATAATGCTTATAAATGTTGTTACTTGGGACAAAATAGGGAATAAGTTTTTTTTCACTTTTACTGTTCCACTGAGTTATAGTTCTTGAAATATTGCACTATCCAAATGAATTAAACTCTTTCTGGTCAGCCAATGCGGATTAGGCCTGTGTGAATCCTTTCGGTAGAGTCCATGCAGTGGGTACCTTGGTATGTTTGGTTGTCAAATAATACAAATGAATGCAAAACTTAAATTATAAACAAAAATTGACAACACCACAGTGGCACTTAAAATTTTGTTAAGTATGGTCTACATGTGTCCCCTGCCTTAAAGTGTTGTCAATTTTGATCATTATCCTGATAAATGTTAACAAAAAACTGATAAATGCCTTCTGACAGGCCTTGTTCAATTTTTTTTATAATTTTTTTCTAGGATTTGAGTACTGTGGCTGGAGCACCAAATGCTGTGAATAACCAAGATTCACCACAGGTATGTGAATGCAGAGACAGGATATATTCGCATTAAACAGTGTTAAAGTGAATAGACCATCAAAATAATACTTTTGTATGGGAATATATTTCTGGTTTTCAATTCATTTCTTTTTGAAAAGTTTTCTTAAAGAACATTGTTACAAGAATAACTTTGAATGACTAGTATACTGACTAGTATACTGGTAATTGAATTGTAAATCTCTTTTAGGTATCCCAAAATAACACAGCAGGTACAAGAAGCACACTATCAACATCAAGAAGGAGAAGACTGTCAACACCAAGAAGGCCTAGAAGAAGTACAGCAATCAGGAGTGGAACACAGGTATAAACATGATGAAGTCATTCAATAGCAGATTCCAAACAATTTGGAAAGTAAAAGGAATGTCTTTCTGCAGTTTACTGGTCAAATGAAAATTATAACTTCTTAAGTACTCTGGTATGTTTTTGGCTTTCTTGACCCAAAGGACATGAATGATGGGTTGACCTGTTGGCTGTTGTATTTCAATCCCTATTTTTATACGATCGCAAACAAATTTTGTGGTCGTATATTGGTATGACGTTGTCGTCGTCGTCCGAAGACACATTGGTTTTCGCACTCTAACTTTAGTTTAAGTTAATGGATCTATATGAAATTTTACCATAAGGTTCAATACCACATAAGGAAGGTTGGGATTGATTTTGGGGGTTAAGGTACCAACAGGTAAGGAATTAGGGGCAAAAAATAAGCATTTTTGTAACTTCCAGACATAACTTGTGTGTTAGTGTATGGATCTCTCTGACATTGTACCACAAGGTTCCATATCATAAAGGGAATGCTGGGGTTGATTTTGGGGGTAATTGCCTCAAAATTTTAGGAATTAGGGGCAAAAAACAAGCATTTTTCTAGTTTCATGACAATAACTTGTGTGTAAGTGTATGGATCTCTCTGACATTGTACCACAAGGTTCCATATCATAAAGGGAATGCTGGGGTTGATTTTGGGGGTAATTGCCTCAAAATTTTAGGAATTAGGAGCCAAAAAAGGGGCAAAAAACAAGCATTTTTCTAGTTTCATGACAATAACTTGTGTGTAAGTGTATGGAGCTTTCTGAAATTGTACTACAAGGTTCCATATCACAAAGGGAAAGCTGGAATTGAGTTTGGGGGTAATCGCCCAAAACGTTTAGGAATAAGTGGCCAAAAAGGGGCCAAAAATAAGCACTTTTCTAGTTTCCAGACAATTAATTGTGTTCAAGAGTATTGATCTCTCTGAAATTGTACTGCAAGGTACCATACCACAAAGGGAAGGCTTGGATTGATTTTGGGGGTAATTGCCTCAAACTTTTAGGAATTAGGGGCCAAAAAGGGGCAAAAAACAAGCATTTTTCTAGTTTCAGGACAATAACTTGTGCGTAAGTGTATGGATCTTTATGAAATTGTACTACAAGGTTCCATATCACAAAGGGAAAGCTGGGATTGAGCTTGGGGGTAATTGCCCTATATGTTTAGGAATTTGGGGCCAAAAAGGGGCCAAAAAACAGTCATTTTTCTAGTTTCCAGACAATAACTTGTGTTCAAGTGTATGGATCTCTCTGAAATTGTACTGCAAGGTACCATACCACAAAGGGAAGGCTGGGATTGAGTTTGGGGGTGATGAATCATAAGGGGTTAAAAAAAAATGGGCGAGGGATTTTTTTTTCATTTTTTTTTCTTGAAAATTTTCCATTTTAAATTGTTTATTTCTGATTTATATATAAAAGCAAATAATAATGATATGGTTTGAATAGGTAAATTAAAAAAATTTATGTTCTTAGACCACATTCATTCTGTGTCAGAAACCTATGCTGTGTCAAATATTTAATCACTATCCAAATTCAGTGCTGTATCAAGCTTGATTGTTGTGTCCATACTTGCCCCAACTGTTCAGGGTTCTACCTCTGCGGTCGTATCAAGCTGCGCCCAGCAGAGCATGCTATCTGCTCATTGGCAGAAAAAGCGGAAAGTTATTGACAGTCATCACAAACACACTTTATATTTTTTTATATATATGGCAGGTTAGAATTGTTAATAGATACTCAGAAGATGTTGTATGAGGGCCAAAGAGACAACTCTCCATCCAAGTCACAAATTATAAAAGTAAAGCCTTTATTGACAATTTTTTAACAGAACAATTTTTAGCTCACCTGGCCCAAAGGGCCAAGTGAGCTTTTCTCATCACTTGGCGTCCGTCGTCCGTTAACTTTTACAAAAATCTTCTCCTCTGAAACTACTTGGCCACAATCATCATTGGGGTATCTAGTTTAAAAAAATGTGTCCGGTGACCAGGCCAACTAACCAAGATGGCCGCCATGGCTAAAAATAGAACATAGGGGTAAAATGTAGATGTTGGCTTATATCTCTGAAACCAAAGCATTTAGAGCAAATCCGACTGGGGTAAAATTGTTTATCAGGTCAAGATCTATCTGCCCTGAAATTTTCAGATGAATGGGACAACCCGTTGTTGGGTTGCTGCCCCTGAATTGGTAATTTTAAGGAATTTTGCCGTTTTTGGTTATTATCTTGAATATTATTATAGATAGAGATAAACTGTAAACAGGAATAATGTTCAGCGAAGTAATATCTACAAATAAGTCAACTTGACCAAAATGGTCAGTTGACCCTTTAAGGAGTTATTGCCCTTTATAGTAAATTTTAAACCATTTTTCGTAAATTTTTGTAATCTTTTACAAAAATCTTCTCCTCTGAAACTACTAGGACAAATTTAACCAAACTTGTCCACAATCATCATTAGGGTATCTTGTTTAAAAAATGTGTCAGATGCCCCTGCCCGCGAACCAAGATGGCCGACATGCCTAAAAAATAGTACATAGGGTAAAATGCAGTTTATGGCTCATATCTCTGAAACCAAAGCATTTAGAGCAAATTTGACGGGATAAAAATTGTTCATTAGGTCAAGAACTATCTGCCTTGAAATTTTCAGAGCAATCAGGCAACACGTTGTTGGGTTGCTGCCCCTGAATTGGTAATTTTAAGAAAATTTTGCAGCTTTTAGCTATTATCTTGAATATTATTATAGATAGAGATAAACTGTAAACAGGAATAATGTACAGCAAAGTAAGATCTACAAATAAGTCAACATGACCAAAATTGTCAATTGACCCCTAAAGGAGTTATTGCCCTTTATAGTCAATTTTTTACAATTTTCGTAAATTTTTGTAATCTTTTACAAAAATCTTCTCTGAAACTACTGGGCCAAATAGAATCAAACTTAGCCACAATCATCATTAGGGTATTCAGTTTAAAAAACTGTGTCCGATGACCCTGCCTGCCAACAAAGATGGCCGACATGGCAAAAAATAGAACATATGGGGTAAAATGCAAGTTTTGTCTATTACTCTGATAACCGTTATAAAAAGACGAAATCTGAAGAGAGTAAAATTGTTCAGAATGTTGAGCTCTACCAATTATCCATATACGTCAAAACTGTTAGACAATTTCTTGTAGGAGTTATTGCCCTTCAATGACAAATTTTACCACTTTTTTCAAGTTATACCTATTATCATATCTTGAAAACTATAAAAGATAGGGAGAAACTTTAAATTGCAAAAATGATCAGAAGGACAAGTTCTTCAAATAAGTCTTATGGTTGAAATCATCAGTTGTCCTTATTAGAGTTATTTCCCTTTGATGCCGATTTGTACAATTTTTTTTTTCGTTTTTGTCTTATATCTTAAAACTTATAATAGATAGAAAGAAACTTAAATATACAAAAATGATCAGCAAGACAAAATCTACAATGAAGACAAATTGCAGAAATTGTCCAACGACTCCTTATTGGAGTTATTGCCCTTTAGTTATGATTTTTACCATTTTTCTGGCGTTTTTCCTTGTATGATATTAATTATAATAGATAGATAGAAACTTAAATAATCAAAAATGATAAGCAAGACGAGACCTACTAACAAGTCAAATTTTGCTGATATAATAAGTAGACTGTTACTCTTTATAGGAGTTTTTTTACCCTCTTTTGTGTATAGAGCAAAAGCTAAATAAGATCATGAAGATAGAGAGAAACTAAACAGACTTCAGTGATCAGCAATATAAGATACAAAAAAAAACAGAGATTTTTGTCATTTATTCTATTCTCGTCTACAATGTTGGAGAGTGTCCCTGTTGAATATGCATATAGACCAAGGTGAGCGACACAGGCTCTTGAGAGCCTCTAGTTTATTTATCTTGACGATGATTAATAAAAATTGATTTAAAAGAAATGGTGTTATGCCATGAACCCCCCTTTTTGAACACATCTTGCTGTGTTGTTATGAAGTATAAATGATAATACCGATAGGTCTGTGAGATTATATGCTATGAAAATGAGTCTATTTGATATGCTGATTGTGCTAATATTAATTGTCATGATTGAATTCTATCGTGTTTCAAGTGATCAATGTTATGACTGGAATTTATTCACGGTGACAAATTTGCAAGTTTGTCCACGGAGTACTTTTACCTTTAGTTCTGTTGTTTATTTGAAATATTAACCTTTTAAATGTATTCTTAAGTTATTCTGTATGACTGTGTAAAAACCGTCAGGGTGAATAAATATGTTGTTTCTTATTGAAATTAAGCTGGAAAACATCTTTATTTACACAAAACTTCCAGTGTTTACATTTTGAGTTAACATTTCGGGAATTTCCCTTAACAGAAAGAAGGCTGCTGATTGGTTCAACATATGTAAAAGCATCTGTGATTGGCTGTTTGTGGAATAAATCTAAAAAGATCAACTACGGAGGGCAGTGATTATTTGTTGTTTGGAAGTTACAGAGTGCAATATTTAAAATGTCTTAGAATTTAAATATGATAGGAAAAGTAAGGAAATTGCACCTATATTAACAATGATTTATTATAGATGCAAGTTGGTGACATTTAATGGTTGGGTGAGAATTTTAAGTGTAAATAGTTGGTGATTTGTATCATTGTAAGTAGTCTGTGACTTTGCTAGGTGTAAATAGTTGGTGACTTTTCAAGGTGTAAATAGTCCGTGACTAATTTGGGTGTAAATACTTGGTGACAATTTAGGATGTAAATTGTACCAATATTTTAAGTATTAATGGAATAGTTGTCTTTGTGACCATAATAGCAAGTAGTTTTATACTGATAGTTATTTGAAATAGATGTTGTTAAATTAAGGCTACATGCTTTTATATGTGGCCTTTTAATGCATATTTGTAAGCCTGTTCAAGCTATACGCTACCTGTAGTTTCTAAACTAGTCAAAGTTAACAGAGAGGTGACTGGATAGTTATATATATGATTAATATAAAGATTAAATAAGATAGACCAAATATGCCGTGGACCCAACCAGACCAGTGACAGAGCCTGTACAGCTATTCTCTCAGCGGTTTTAATTGTCAAATAAATAATCAAAACTGTTATATGCTATGACTTTTATTTCTCAATCATATATAAAATAGATAGACCTGTAGAACATAGGTTAAATGAAGCTTTAAAGTGTATTGGTTCGACGGTATTCTAATTAGACATCAGGCCTGACATGCTACAGAAATAAATAATACCAGTTAAGAAATCCCTTTTCTATGTAATCTGGGATCTCTGGTGGCCAACTCTTAACACCAGGGAGGCAGCATTATAATATACCACCAAATTTTGGAATAAGTCGCCTTGGGTGGTTAAAGTAGTCAGACAAATAGTGTTTACTTTTGATTTACACTACACAAGTAATTCTACTTTTGTAGGAGCAGGAAAATAATGCTGAGTTAAATCAATCAAGCATCATTGATGAAACAGAAGAAACACCCCCGGTAAGTGTTAATTTAGCAAGATTATTATGAGTTCATATTTTACAGGTAAATCTTTTCTTCTTAATAAATGACTTACACTGTTAAATTTGGTTTATTTTTTATTAATACTATAAAAAACTTGTAACAATCACTAAAATTACAAGCTCCTAATACTAGGGACAGGTATATTTAGCATTTTTCGCAAAGTTAACTTATAGAACCTTGTAAAAAAAAATTGCTAGTATATTGGTGATTGAATGATGAATCTCTTTTAGGTATCCCAAAATAACTCAGCAGGTACAAGAAGTACATTATCAACACCAAGAAGGAGAAGACTGTCAACACCAAGAAGGCCTAGAAGAAGTACAGCTATCAGGAGTGGAACACAGGTATCAACATGATAAAGTCAATCAATAGCAGATTCCAAACAATTCGGAAAGTAAAAGGAATGGCTTTCTGCAGTTTACTGGTCAAATGAAAATTATAACTTATTAAGTACACTGGTATGTTTTTGGCTTTCTTGACCCAAAGGATGGGTTGACCTGTTGGCTGCTGTATTTCAATCTTTGCTCATTGGCAGAAAAAACGGAAAGTTATTGACAGTCATCACAAACACTTTATAGTTTTGATATATATCATGTATATGGTAGGTTTGAATTTTAAAGCCTTTATTGACAAGCAAAGGAATAAAAAAAAATACAGAACTATTTTTATTTATTTTAACCAAAATTGATAAACATTGATTTAAAAGAAATATATCAACAAATTTTTGAATAAGTCACCCTTGGTGGTTAAAATAGTGTTTACTTTGATTTACACTACACGAGTAATTCTAATTTTGTAGGAGCAGGAAAATAATGCTGAGTTAAATCAATCAAGCATCATTGATGTAACAGATGAAACACCCCGGTAAGTGTTAATTTAGCAAGATTATTATTAGGTCATATTTTACAGGTAAATCTTTTCTTCTTAATAAATGCAGTTTTTGAGCATATCTAACATGTGGTAGTAATATTCATCAGGTCAGATCTATCTGCCCTCAAATTTTCAAATGATTCAGACAACCCATTGTTGGGTTGCTGCCCCTGAATTGGTAATTTTAAGAAAATTTTGCAGCTTTTGGTTGTTATCTTGAATATTATTATGGATAGGGATAAACTTTCAACAAAATAATGTTCAGCAAAGTAAGATCTACAAATAAGTCAACAAGACCAAAATAGTCAATTGACCCCTTAGGGATTTGTTGCCTTTATAGTCGATTTTTAACATTATTTTGTAAACTTTTACAAAATCTTCTCTGAAATAACTGAGACAAATTAAACCAATCTTGGCCACAATCATCTTTTGGGTATTAAGTTTGAAAAAAATATGTCTGATGACCCCACCTACCAACCAACATGGCTGACATGGCTAAAATAGAACATAGGGACAAATCTTTTGCCACATATATAACAAATTTTAGGATGAGGGAGATATACTTTAGATAATTCATATATGAAATTAATAACAATAAATTGAATGATAATTTTGAATATTATTCCAGGTACTAAGTCAACTGCCTAGTTTGAGAGTATGACATTTAGATTGTCACACTAGTAAAACAATTTTGTAGTTGATACCTATACAGGCAAAAAAAAACAACCCAATAGTATGCTGTTTTAAAAAAAGTTTGTTATTGGTTTCTTGTAATTTCTCAATTTGTAATAGGAAGTGGTTGCAGCAGGATATCGCAACAGTTTTATTTAGAACATCAGCACCACTAATGGTAGATCAGATGAATACCCATTCCATATCAATTCCAAATCAAACAAACAGGTCTCAACAAATCATTGACATAACAAGGTATGTTCTTACAGTCATAATTAATACTGTATATGTAAATTTCTTGATTTATGTTCTTTTAAATATTATGAAAGCATGCCATCATATGTGTCCTATGGACAAATTCTTCTTTTATTTTGGTGTCAAATAGGTTCATATCAAGTATGAAAAATTCTTGTCAAGAGTTGTTTACAATTCCTTGTTCATGTTGATTGTAATGATATTTAAACTAAATATTTCCTATTTCTGTAAGATTACATCATTACCATTAAGCAATCGTAACTAACTCAGCTATTCTAGCCAGGTCAGTATGGCCCTCAACATGGAGTCTTGGCTTACCTGAATAGCAAGCTTTAAAGGCCCCTTAATAATCAGTGTAAAACAATTCAAACAGGAAAACCTAATCTATATACAAAACAAGAAACAAAAACAACTATGAACCACATCAGCAAACAACAACCACTGAACAAAAGGCTCCTAACTATTTCCACAGGCACACCAACCTTCACCCCAATCTGAGACAGTAGTGTAAAATAACAACATGAAATGTATATAACTTTGACTTAAGCAATTTAGAGCGTCACTGCCAAAGAATATTTATTCTCTGAATACGATGAAATGTTGAATTAATTAATGCTTTTCCCTTGTTTCCATACTTTTGAACTTTATTGTTTTGAGTTTATAAAAAAAGGTTGTAAAACATTTAATATCATCATTAAAAAAATATAGAGATTGATAAACAGTGTGATACACATAATAGCCAAGTTAAAAAATATTGTGAAAATTTTTCTCATGAGCTACTTTACAAAGCTTTTTGAAATTTGATATTAAGGATTATTACAATGAGTGAGATATACTGTGTTGTATGATTTCAGTGTTATCTGACACCTACTCATTCTGTTTAATGTTTACTTTTAGTTGTGGTATCACAAGTGAGCAGTCACAAGTGAGCAGCAGCTCACAGATTCACATGTTGAACATACATTTATATAAGTTGGTTTTCGTAGAGAAAAGAATGTGCTTGAGGTTCATTTGTCAACAAACTTGAGACATAAATTCTCCAATCTTCATATAGGAAACTATGCTCCATATTACATATTTTTTTTCTATTTCAGAGAACTGCATGTTAATGAAACCAATGACAATGGTTTGAATGACTATATACCAGAAACAGCACCATTTGGTGATGTTGGGTAATATTCTATTATTTTGTTATAAACCAACCAAAACTCAAGTAAATATACATTAAAATGTAACTCTGAATCTTTTTGGGGTAAAAAAGTGTTAAATTAGAAAATGCTACATGAATATATTTTTCTGTCATACTATTTTTGCTCAGGGCAATTCCAGAATTAAACATTCTAGGGTAAATTGTTCAGATCCAAACCACCCATAATAACAAAAAATTATATGAAATGCATTTTAATTTTTTTTTTTACCACACAGTGAAATTTGGAACAGCTCTCAAAAAAAATAATTAGTAAGAATAGCAGGTTATTTTCACGGGTGTAAAATTTCTCGATAAAGTGGCAACAAAGTATAAGAAAATTTTTGGTGGTTTTTATTTTGGTGGATTCTAAAATTTCAGTTAAATATTTTGGCAGATACCGAAATTGTTGCAGATAAAAATGAGAAGCAAGTGTCTTACTTAATTGACATTTTATTTAAAGAATATATTCTGATACTGAAAAAAAATACCAGTAACAGTAAGATATTTGTCACAGGTATACACACTTCTGTTAAATTTGGTAGATGAATAGTAACAAAAATGACCGAACATTTGGTGTACTTACTAATTAGGTTAAAAATTATCAAGAGTGATTTACAACTCTAATGTAGTTTGACACTAATAAGTAAGGGTAATTGCCTGATAGAGTACCTTACAATGAATAATAAGGGTACACACCCGACAGTCATTTTATAAAATACATCTGTACAATACCCTTATGTGTACAATACCCTTTGAGCATTTATGTTGGTAACACTAACCTATACCATTATTGACCTGCTGACAGGAATAGAAGAAAATCATTTACTAAACGCTTTAGCTTTTAGAAAGTACAGAACATATAAATAATTTAAAGTAGTAATATCATATAACAAGGAACATGTGTACTAAGTTTCAAGTTGATCGGACTTCAACTTCATTAAATAAAATGCTCCGCTGGGCGCAGCTTGATACGACTGCAGAGGTCCAACCCTGAACAGTTGGGGCAAGTATGGACACAACATTCAAGCTTGATACAGCTCTGAATTTGGATTGTGATTAAATATTTGACACAGCATAGGTTTCTGACACAGAATGAATGTTGTCTAAGAACTTAAAAAATTTTAATTTACCTATTATGTTCCAATATCCAAAATCTAAATACATACACGGTTAGATTCACCATATCAAATAACCCCAAGAATCAAACCATATCATTATTATTAGCTTTTATATATAAATAAAAAATAACCAACTTAAAAAGGAAAATAAAAGAGGGAAAAAGGAAAAAAAAAAAAAAAAAAGAAAAAAAAATCTCCCCCCCCCTAATTTTTTGAACCCCCTTATGATTCATCACCCCCATACTCATCCCAGCCTTCCCTTTGTGGTATGGTACCTTGCAGTACAATTTCAGAGAGATCCATACACCTGAACACAAGTTATTGTCTGGAAACTGTAAAAATGCTTGTTTTTTTGCCCCTTTTTGACCCCAAATTCCTAAACGTTTAGGGCAATTACCCCCAAACTCAAACCCAGCTTTACCTTTGAGACATGGAACCTTTTAGTACAATTTCATAAAGATCCATACACTGTCCTGAAACAAGAAAAATGCTTGTTTTTTGCCCCTTTTTGGCCCCTAATTCCTAATATTTTGAGGCAATTAACCCCAAAATCAATCCCAGCCTTCCTTTTGTGGTATGGTACCTTGCAGTACAATTTCAGAGAGATCCATACACTTGAACACAAGTTATTGTCTGGAAACTAGAAAAATGCTTATTTTTAGCCCCTTTTTCGTAAACGACTGAATGAAGCAAAGGCCAGAACTACTTTACCGTTATATCTAGAGGACAGTGCAATGAGGTGGTACATTAGTTTGGATGATGATATTAAAGGAGATTATGATCTATTGAAAGAATCATTTCAAGCAAGATTCCAACCAGATCCCAGAACTAAATGGCAAAAGACTGCTGAGCTGTATACAGTAACTCAGAACCAATCTACTGTTGATTGATTGATTGATTGCGTATGGCAAATATTTCATGCATATTCAGGACGAGATCAAATTAACAATAAATAGGTTGGTTCTGTAGTAGATGCGTCTGGGATTGAGATCGGAGAAATTTAGACTGCCACGGGAAATGAGGGTATATTGGATAGGGACAGAAATTTAGCCTTGTAACAGGTCACCTACGGGCCTCTCAAAGAGTTGTTGCAAGGGTTCTTAGCGTGCAAAGAGCGTGGCACTCTATTTACACGAGGCATCGGATTTAACGTCCCCAATCTGACCGGACGTGGCTGCAAATTTGTACGTCCCGCACAGCCAAACGGACGCCCCACTTTGGCGAGAGTTTTACCGCCGGTCGGAGGAAGACCAATGGTGACCATACTTCTATTCCCCAGCCACCCTTGGGGGTAATCTACTGTTGAAGATTACATTGCTAGAAGAACGACTAAAACAGCAGAATTGCAGCTCGCAGATGAACAGACTTTTCCCCCGTATCTAACGCATTCTTATAGGAGCAACACCCTGCTTCTTAGTAATGGTAGGAAACACCGTTACTACACCTACTCTAACCAACTCCTTCCTCCAACAGGCGCGTAGCTACGTTTACGTCAAAACGCCCGGTCTTGCACATGAATTTTAATTGGAGAAAAAATATTTTTAATCAAATGGTATCACATTATTTATTTGTTCGTTTTCTGTCAAAATCTGAATCTACTGTGAATTATCCTCCCTTTCCTATAGTTTAAAGCAATTCATTATCTGCTGAGATACGATATGCAGTTTTGTCGAGCCTGCTAGACATTCCGTAATCGGCGTTGGTGTCGTCAATATTTATGTTCAGCCCGTGGTTAAATCTTTTTAAAGCATCAATGAATTTGTAAAACCTTTATGAAATTTTACAGAATATAGGCAGAAACTT